GAATATGTACCGCATATGCACCTGAGATGGGTGCCAGAGGCACCACAGGTCCTAAACCATTCCAAAGATTGGAGGACTGCTGTCTGTGGAAGAATAGTGAAATGAATTAGAAAAGAGTGAAGGCACAAGAGCAGAGCATGAGAGAGGTGAGGCTCAAGCTGTGGTCTAGGGTCTAGGGTCTCAGTGTCCTGTGAGAGTAGATGCTGGTAGGAGGGGCCCTGCCAAAGTACACTAAGCCAAATCCAAGGGGCCTCAGCTCAGACAAGGACCTAAGACCTGCATGAACCCCTGCTCCCCTCCAGGGACAGCCTCTTTATTCAATTACAACACCCAGGTGTGGCAGCCAAGACAACAGGGTGGGACTCTTGACAGGCCAGAGTGGGTGAACCTCCACCATACTACTAATTTCAGGATGCCCAACACTGCAGCCCAGACAAAAAAGACATTGTTTCTCCCATCTTGGGTGGGACTTCCTTCATCTCTCCCCAAAATATTAAGTTTGTTTTTTCTTCCAGGCTTTCTGCTCTCATATGGTGAGCTTTAAGCAAGGTTCATTGGGGGATGAGGGTGCAGAGGAACATGAGTAGCTGAGATGAAGATGTTTTATTACAAAATCTGGAAGGAATACAAATGTGTAAGACTTGAAAGAACCTACTGCATCCATCTTTAGTATATTCTGCCACTGTGAATTCATGGCCAGGGTCCTGGTATGCATCCCTCTGGCTTTAGCCACATCTGCCTGACTCCTTGGCCACTGGAGCATTTTTTGGGATGCTTTGACATGGTAGGCTGGACCTGGAGGCTCTAATAAAGCATCCCAGGCTCTATTTTCATCAATACCTCTCTCTCACTCCCTGGTGCACCCAAGGGTGATGGTGAAACGTGGAACAAACTGCACTTCCATACAGCATGTCAGTTGTGGAAAGAGCTATCATACCCCAAGTGGAATTTCTGGTGCCTAGATTCAACTGGGGGTACAGGAAAGTACAGCCCCAAAAAGGGCAATGGGATTTAAAAAAAAAATATTGTATTGGCACAACATAACTATACAATGTCAAACTGCTCAGCCTGAGAGACCACATAGGGATAAAAGGGGTAAATGGGTAGTGGTAGAGGAATGAAACCTTGAACATGAGGTCTAAGGACACAGGTCTGGGGGACCAGAAGGAGACAAAAAAGGGTGTTGTCCCATTTAAACAGGCATAACATTATAGGGCATGCAGACAACATATGCGGGAACACACTCAGGCTCAGGGTAGTCTGGGAGGTGTTTGAGTAGCTCTTTGAGCAGAAAATTGGTTGTGTGGGCAAACTCTGTTACCAGATTTGCCCGTCACTTTGGGGTGCACTTATTAACTAGGGATACATTTCTAGGGTCTTTGTAAGTCTATCAATGTGCTGCTTGTGTGTACTGGTGTTTCTATATGGAGCTGTATCTCTCCCTTCTGCAAGTCCTCACCCCCAATAGAACTATCTTGCAGGACTCAGTTTCAATGGAGCTGGGCTTCTCCAGCCACCAAATCAGTCAAATACACACACGCAGATTAACGTGACGTGCCTGACCCGGCTGGGTTGTTCAGCATGGACAGACTGATACCCTCATATGCCAGGAATCAGTTCATTAAAGTAACAATAAAAATGCAGTCAGACACAAGCACACAGGTGAACAGAATGCCTCTGAATCCAGCTGGGTGTCTAGCTGACACCCTCATGGGCCAGCATTCAGTTCATTAGGGCACGTCTGAGCCAAACTGGATAAATCAGCCTGTACAAGCTGATCCCCTTATATGTCTCAAACTCAGAACATCCCAATCTTTTGCCATAACTGTTCTAGTAGTGGTAGCCTCTTGATGAGCAGACCCCACAGTATTTCCGGGCTTCACAGGGACTATGGCTTAGGTAAAAGAAGCATTGCTGCAGAGCGAGTGGGGAAGGGGAAGTAGAGAAACAAAAATATACCCAGTTACCACCAGTTTGACTATAGAAGTTATTTATTGCTAAGTATATGAAATATATATAATGGTACTAGTAATAATAGACATGCAAGAAAAACAAAACAAAACAATTACAATGTTACCCTGGTTTCATTGAGTATTTGGGGAAACTTAGCTTAAGCTTAACTAATACAATTTAGGTTCAGAAAGCTATGCCTAGAGAGAAAAAGAAAGAGAGAGAGAGAGAGAGAGAGAGTGTGAAAGCTGGGATCTTACCATTCCAAGGCACTTGGGTGATTTGTTGACAAACAAAATTCTCAGCATGATCCTTGAAGGGAGACAATCTGTTTCTTCCAGCTTCTCGAGAACAACCGCGTATGGGGTCAGAGAGATGTCTCTCCCTTGACACACTGTTTGCTACTTTTACAGCTTTCTTATACCCCGGAGGACTTCCACCAGTCATCCCAGGAAAAGTATGACAGCATTTGTGGTCAGGGCTCCAATGGGCTGGATGCTGTGATGAACCCTTAACCATTGTTCAAATGTTGCCCATACCCTCCCTGGCTCGGTTTCTTTGCCTCAGCATTCCCTAACCCGGCAACTGAGTTTTAGTCAATCAAGATAAAATAGGCATCCCATAGTGGGACCAGGGAATGTATGGCCCGAGATGCCTGGTAAACTCTTCTTCTGCTTAGTTTTGGTTAGATGAGGTATGTGTGTGGGGAAACGGAAAAAGTCTGTTGTAAGTCCAGCAAACTGGGTGCCAGGCCTCCCTTGGGAAGACAGAGCTGATAGGTAACAACTGCCTTTACAGGTGTGCATAGTGGGAAAATATCCAGTTTCTCTGTCTTGGTTGGTCTCAAGCACATCTGCAGTGCAGAAGTCTATGGTCTGTACCTTAGAATAGCTGCCAGGAGCTAGATGATTGATTCTTCCTGCTGGGAGGATCCCAGGTACTGCATGGGGATGTACTGACCATGTTAAGTTGGCAATGTGTTGGCCAACCAGGCCCAGTGGTCCAGCCTGATGCTTGTCTTCACACTGCCTGGCTACATATCAGAATAGGATCAGTATCAGCCAATATGGCTCCTTTAAAAGCAGCCATACCTATTGGCCCCAAGAAATCTTTATCAGTGCACCCCTACTTATAAGGTATCTAGCTCGAGTGGGAAGCGACATAGGAATGATGCTGGGCATTGTTACCAAATTTGCCCATTACTTTGGGGTGTGCTCATTTATTAGGGATAGTTTCTAGGGTCTTGGTGATTCTGTCAATGTGCTGCTTGTGTTACTATACGGAGCTGTATCTCTCCCTTCAGCAAGCCCTCAACCCCAGTGGAGCTATCTTGCAGGTCTCAATCTCAATGGGAATGGGTTCCTCCAGTCACCAAATCGGTCATACACACAAACACACACAAATTAACGTGACACGCCTGACCTGGCCGGGCTGATCAGCATGGACAGGCTGACACCCTCATATGCCAAGAATCAGTTCATAAGAGCAACAATAAAATGCAGTCAGACACAAGCAC